AGAGGCACAAGCATCATGATGGGAGAAAGAGGAAGGCAGAGATGACAAGAAGCCTTCAAGAAAGAGGTGGCATTTGAATGGGTCCTCGACATGCCACGTCTTCTCTCCTGACGGCCTGCGCACATGTGAGTTCATTCAGTAACTATTTCCTGAGCTCCTGCTGAGCCAGACACCATGCTGGGCACAGAGGACACAGAGCCAGTAGAAGAGACGTTGCCTTGTCCTCCCCAGGCGACCAACTGGAGCAGTACCATCCCAGAGAACCTTCTGGATGATGGAAATGTCCATGCTGATGAGTAGCCACTGTCCACCTGCAGCTCTTGAGCACTTGGAGTATGGTTAGTGCAACCAGCAGCTGAATTCCTAATTTTATTTCATTCAAATAGTTGCCTGTGGCTAGTGGCCACTCTGGGACACTGCAGGTTTAGAGAGAGAGAAGGAACATAGAGAAGTGCTTCTGGTGATACCTGCGACCCGGGAAACAAGGTGCCGTGGCAGAGAGGAATGGGGAGTGTCCTCTTTAGGTTGGATGATCAGGAAAAGACCTCTCCAAGGAGGTGACATTTCAACCGAGACCTGGAGGAGGAGTGTGGCCATAGCAAGGGTCAGGGGAAGGGCACCAGGCAGGGGTGACAGTGAATGGGTGGAGAGGCCCTGCTGTGGGGGAGGGATGAGTGTGCCTGAGGTGGTGAGAGGGTCCATGTCCTGAGAGAGCTTGGAGTGAGGGGAGGGAGGACATGAGAGGAGGCCAGGGCGAGAGAGGAACAGGGTCTGAGTGTGGAGACTTGGTTGGATAAGGAGGCTACATGTAAAGTGCAGTGGAAGCCATGGAGGGTTCTTTAGCGCTGGCTAAACGTGGAGCACAGATTCTAGGTGGCACAGTGGAAGTGGGGCATGAGGGGCAGTGAGAGCCACGTCCAGGTGGCAGATTGTGGCCTGGAGGAGGACGATGGCATGGAGAGGGGAGAAGTGAGTAGGTGGAGATGCACTTTGAAGGCCGTCATGGCGGGCTTTACAGACAGACTGGATGTGGGGGGCAAGAGAGACGGTGGAGTCAAGGTGCATGACCTGAGCCAGTGGGCAATGGTGCACTGGTTCTAGAGGAGAGAACATTAAAGGAAAACCAGTGCAGGCTGTTGGATGGGCAGCCAGATGGTTGCTCAAGTCGGGGGGTGGGAGCGGGGGATGCTGGATGTTTATTTGATGATGTTGTATCTCTGGGCCTTCTGTGAGCACACTCCGGGTGGGCGAGTGTGCACTGAATCTCTGCTTTGGGTAAAGTAAACTGCACACATCTGGTTTGGGAGTGCGGTGTTTGCATATGAATGTCCA